GAAGCCGAGGGACTAGCAAGGGAGCAAGCTGAACGATACGAGGAAGAGCAACTTCAACGAGCGCGTAAGTCCATCTCAATGATTACTGAAAGACTACTTTTTCCAGATTTTTTTCGTTCGGGCAGAGATCAGAGATGCCATAGTCTGCAGAGAAATATCGTATAGTTCATCACATACACTTAAGACTGTTGCTCGAATAATAGTTCTATTCATTCTGGCTATGATTTTCTTGATTAGCAAATGTTAGCGTCTGGGTGATTCACTCGACGCTACTCTAGAGATTAAGTTGATCCTTCTAGTCTAACTGGCTTAGGATAACTGCCCGGATAGCAGGAGGTGTGGATTCGAATCCCACGAAGGCCACTTTTTCTCCATTTTCTCTTTCTTTTATTTTCTTGCCGCTGATGTCCCTTTCATGGCTCTAATATGAGACCTAACAGCACACTTGAACTGGCACCTGTATCTATGTTCTCAAATAAAAATGAAAAAAAATTGAATTCTTGAAAAGTATTCTATATGCCAAACCTTCACAAACGCACCCCTACCCTCATTCCTTACAATTTTAAAATTCTTTTAGTACAAAGTTGTTGATGATTCTCAAATTTCTGAATATCTCAGATTCCACAATGCTGAAAATTTCAGAAACTCGTTATCGCAGAAGATTCTATTTTTGCACAGCAGAAACTCTTTGCTCAATTTTAGAAAATTTGCAGTATTCTCAAATCTATGACATGTTGAATTGAGAAAATGTGGAAAGTTCTTTAATATCGACTTTTGCATGACTTCAATTACGGCAACCTCCAACATTTTCTCAGAAGTATTTCTTTCTAAAAGAAAATAATTTTCACATCCACTGGTCCAATGGTCTACTACTGAGATAATTTTGAGTTTGACACGACCCTCTAAACAGACTTCTTATAGAATCGTCACTTTTATCTTGCATGATTTTGTGATTGCCTAACCTTTTCATTTAGAAGCTGAACAATTTGCTGCTCTTGATCATTATAGGAATACTAGGCGTCGTGAAGTTCGTGGTGATCCTGATCGTTATTTAAATCCTAGATCTCGCGACATTGCCGATTTTACTCTTCGTTACCTTCAAAATAAGTATCAGGAAGTTACTGATGATGATGATCCTGATGATGATGATCCTGATGATGAATTCAATACTAAGCGTGGTGAAGTTACTGATTATCCTCCTCCTGATCATTATTTTAATCCAAGACGTCGCGAAGGTAGTGATTATCCTAATCCTTATATTAAAACTACACGTCGTGAAGCTACTTATTATCTTCATCCTCATCGTTATCTTAATACTAAGCGACGTGAAGTTATTAATGATAATAATCCTGATCGTGAATTTAAAACTAAGCGTCGTGAAGTTACTGATGATTCTGGTCCTGATCGTCATTTTAATACTGAGGGTCGTGAAGTTAATGATGATA